AAGGGCCTGGGTGCATGGACTCTCTCGAGTCCTGCCTTCCCCCAGCCAGCATCTTGCTGCAGCTGACACCGGCACTTACCGTAGTCATGCACCAGGGCCGCCAGAACTGAGTGCTGGGCTTCAACAACACGTAAATTCTCTCCCAGTCCTGGAGGCTAGAAGGCCGAGATCAAGGTGTTGGCGGGGTTGTTTCTTCTGGGCCCTCGCTCCTGGGGTTGCGGATGGCCACTCTCCTTGTATCCTCACCTGGTCTTCCTTCCATGTGTGTCTGTGTCCTAATCTCCTCCTCTTCTTCTTCTTTTTCTTTTCTTTTCTTTTCTTTTCCTCAAGATTTTATTTATTTGAGAGAGAAAGCAAAAGAGAGAGCAAAAGCAGGCAGAGGGTAGGGAGAAGCAGGCTCCCCGCTGAGCAGGGAGCCTAACGCAGGGCTTGATCCCAGGACCCAGGGATCATGACCCGAGCCGAAGGCAGACGCTTAACCCACTGAGCCATCCTGGTGCCCTGGTAATCTCCTCTTCTTATAAGGACACAGATCCTATTGGATTAGGGTTCACCCCTCTGACACCATTAACTTCAACCCCTCTTTAAAGGCTCTGTCTCCAAATGCAGTCACATTCTGAGGTCCTGGCTATTGGGACTTTAGTATAGGAACTTTTCAAGGCCTGGCTCGCTCAGTGGATAGAGCCTGTGGCTCTTGAACTTGTTCTCAGGGTCGTGAGTTCCAGCCCCACATTGGGCGTGGAGCCTACCCCCTCCCACCCCCCCAAAAAAAGGAAAAAAAAGGAATTTTTCAGGGGACACGGTTGAGCCATAACACTTAACCACCAATGCCCAACTCGCCTTCCTGCGTACAGAACTCTTCATTTGGGAGGAGAGGAAGCAACAACTGACCCAGCGAAATGCCGCTCCCCACCGCTAGGGGTGCTTTAGGACCAATGATAGGCGAGGGAGCAATTTGGAGCCCGCCCCTGAATGGGGGCTCATCCAATGTTTCCTCTCGATGAGATTCAGGTCATGCATCTTCAGCGGGGACATCACCAAGGTGATGCTGTGTTCTCACGGCACCTCGGGACATAGCACACGATGTCTGTTTGCCCCATTGTTCATCATGTCCTCTGGATCGTTTGATTAATGGGGTGTCCACTAGTTACTCCTTTTCCTGTTGGAATGAGGAACTATTTTCCGAAGATCTTTTGAAACTATGTAACTATCCCATTCTTCACATTTTCAATGTAATTATGTATATATATTAGTAGGGATTCATGGTCTTCTATTTCATTCAATGGGCTATCTTTCATTATGTTATTACTTACTTGAATGCTCAGAATTTCTCAGATTTGGCTAGCGGGAGGCCCTGTAAGCTAGTTTAACTCTTCTAGCTTTAGGGTATGTTTAATAGTCAATATCTGTAAAGTTTTAAAATACTTCATAGGGCAAACCCTCTTCCCTCCCAACATTGTTGCTCTTTTTCGGAATTCTCTTGGCTGTTCTTACAGATTTTCTCTTTTCATTGAGACTAAAACGGATAGGCCAAATTATGGAAACAGATTCAAAGGAAATTTTGGTTAGGATTGCTGTGAATTTATAGAAGAAAAAGAAAAAAGGATACTTTCTGTAAGGATATTAAATTTTTCCTCGCTTCATGTAGCTTCGATTTTTATGTCCTTTATTCACATTTTAAAATTATGTTCATAGGGGTGCCTGGGTAGCTCAGTGGGTTAAGTGTCTGCCTTCAGCTCAGGTCATGATCCCAGGGTCCTGGGATTGAGCTTCGCATTGGGTTCCTTGCTCCGCGGGAAACTGCTACTTCCCTCTCCCACTCCCCCTGCTTGTGTTCCCTCACTTGCTGTGTATCTCTCTGTCAAATAAATAAAATCTTTTAAAAAAAAATAAAATTATATTCATAAAGTGTACATCTTTCTCCTTAGGGCTTTTCCTAAGCATTTCATAATTTTCATGACTGTCAAGCATAACATCACTCCACTAACCCCACATAAATACTCGTAAATTGGGGATCATTAGTTCACAAGAATGCTATTTCTTTTTTTTTTTTTAAAGATTTTATTTATTCATTTGACAGAGATCACAAGTAGACAGATAGGCAGGCAGAGAGAGAGAGAGAGAGGAAGGGAAGCAGCTCCCCGCTGAGCAGAGAGCCCAACTCGGGGCTCAATCCCAGGACCCTGGGATCATGACCTGAGCCGAAGGCAGAGGCCTTAACCCACTGAACCACCCAGGCGCCCCAAGAACTCTATTTCTATATACACTGTATTCATTTCCAGGGCGCCATGACCAAGTACGAAGCAGCAAAAATGTATTCTCTGGTTCTGGAGGCTAGAAGTCTGATATCACGGTGTCCGCCGGCCATGCTTTCCCTGAAGGTTCTAGGGGAGGATCTTTCTTGCGTCTTCTACAGGTGGTGCCTTTCCCCTTCCGGTGTTGCTGGCGATCCTTGGCATTCCCTGGCTTGTGGATCCAAACTCTCCTTCGGTCTTCACAGGCCCTTCTCCCTGCAAGCCTGTGTCTGGGTCTCCCCTCCTCTCGTAAGGACACGGGTTGTATTCAATTAAAAGCCCACCCTACTTCAGTGTGACCTCATCTTAAATAATTACATCTGCAATGGCATTAGTTCCAAATAAGGTCACATTCTGAGGTTCTGGAAAAGGACACGCATTTTGGAGGGGATGTGATCCCGCTCAGCACACACACCTTTCACATTTACTTTTAGATACTTTCTCACTTACGTGACAGAGACTAATTGTCCCACTCTATTCTCTTTTTTGTCAGTGTAAAACCCTTGACTTTCCCCAAGTTATATGACCATCCCCAAGAAAGGCTACATTTCCCAGAGCCCTTTGCTGCGAGATGGGGCCGAATGACTAAGTCTTAGACAATGCGATGTGACAATGAAGGCCAAATGACAGCTTCTGGGACCCTTCCGAGGAGACAGCCAGCTGGGTCCTTTGTCCCTTTCTTCTCCACTTCCCCATCCAAAGTGGCAGAACACAGATGTTATGACTGCACTACATTCTGGGGACACGAGGACAAAGACCGCACACATCTCGAGAACGAGAATGGAAAGCTGGAAGCAGCCTGGGCCATCCTCATTCAGCAGCTCATATCTGGACTTTTTCTGTTTGGGATAAACGTCCCTCGGGGGCTTCCGCATTGCACAAACCCAGGGGGCGCCTTCCCACTGCAGAGGACGTAAACAGAGACCTAGGAGCTTGGTGATGAACAAACCAAGCTCAGAGGCCCCTGTTCCTAGCTAGTTTCAGCCCCTGGTTTCGGGGCTTCCTGTTACTTTCAGGGAGTCTCAATTTAACTAATACAGTTTTGATAGTGCTTTAATACCCAGGTTTCTGTGCCTGGAGGGCAGCACTCAATTTTACTGGTACTTAGTAGCATTGAACAATTTATGAAAGCAATAGAACTCTGGAAATCAATTTCCTTAAACATTTAAACATTATTATTAATGTGATTAGTTACAGTTCCTCAAAACCTAGATGGCAATTACAAGTCTAGTGTGATTGATTTTTTGACCCCTCCAGACATCTTAAATAGCAGGCCAGACAGACACAGAAAATTTCAGGCCCGTCGAGAGGGCAGGTTCTGAGTCATCTAGACTGATTTCCTTACTGAGAGGCACCCTTGAAGGAGATTTAAACCGAAACCTTCCATCATGAGGCTCGGTCTCTTTCTGTTTTTGTTTTGCAATATTTATTTGTGGCATTGGAGACTGTTAAGTTTTCCTTTGTCATACAGATTTTTAATTTTGGAAACTTGACATCTTTCTCCAAACTTCTGCATTTTCTAAGTTTGCGTGGCAATTGGCGGTCTCTTAATATTTCACAGGAATTTTAGGATGGTTTTTCCCATTTCTGCAAAAAATGCTATTGAGATTTCGATGGGGATTGCCCTGAATTTGTAGATCACCTTGGGTACTGTGGACATTTTAACAATGTTAAGTCTTCCAAGCCATGAACATGAGACATCTTTCCTGGTATTTGTGTCCTTGATTTCGTCCGGTCATGTTTTGTAATTGGCCATTTACAGGCCTGTGCCTTCTTGGTTAAGCTTAGTCCTAAGTATTTTCTTCTTTTTGATTAAATGAGATTGTTTCTTATTTAGTTATTTATTTATTCGAGGGGGAGAGTGGAGCAGAGGCAGAGGGAGAATCTGAAGTAGACTCCTTGCTGAACGTGGAGCCTGACATAGGTCTCAATCTCATGACCCTGAAATCATGACCTGAGCCGAAATCAAGAGTTGGATGCTTCACCGACTGTGCCACCCATGTGCCCCAAAAGGGACTGCTTTCTTAATTTCCTTTTCAGACTGTTCATTATTTAGTGCATAGTAGTACAACTGACTTTTGTATGAACTGGAGTTAATACTTTTTTTTAAGATTTTATTTATTTATTTATTTGACAGAGAGAAATCACAAGTAGGCAGAGAGGCAGGCAGAGAGAGAGGGGGAAGCAGGCTCCCCGCTGAGCAGAGAGTCCAATACGGGGCTTGATCCCAGGACCCCGAGATCAAGACTTGAGCTGAAGGCAGCCACTTAACCCACTGAGCCACCCAGGCGCCCCCTTTTTTCTTGTTTTAATCAGCCGGTGTTGGGGCTTTATTGCTTCAATGAAGAACACCAAATAACACTGTTCCAACTGGTTTTACTCAGTTCAGTGAGCAACTGCATGCCCTCAACAGTTTCATCTTATTTATTTAGACACACAGTTGATACTGAGAAGGAACAGAGAATATTGGCATGACAACATGACCCAACTATTCTAGACTCCAGAGGGAATTCTCAAACACATTTTTTTTCTTGGTGTAGTAGGATAAAAAGGCCTTTGTATTCATTTTTTTATGGGGACAAGTCCTGATTTCCCTTTAAGAAAGGAACCCAACTTTTATGGACTTAAAAATTATGTTTATTTTTTCAGTTATAAAAATACATACCCACTTAATAAAAAAAAAGAAAGAAAGAAAGAAAGAAACAAACAAACAAACAAAAGAACCGAAGGAGGAAAGGAAGGTTTTCCGGACACGTGGGAGGCTCAGGTGTGCCCGTGGAACTCACAAGTTGCTGCTAAAATCAGCAGTTTGTGAAGCACTGAGTTGCTCCAGGAATGTGGTAGGGGATCGATGGTTCTCAAATGTGCAAATTTCTGAAGTTATTCTCTAAATTATTCTGGGAGTGCTAAGAGAGAAAGAGAACAGAAGTGTCATTGGCAGGCAGTGGTGTGGGGAGCAAGCCAAGGCGAGGGGACAAGGAGGTCAAAGAGGGACAGGGAGTCCTCGAGGGAACCAGAGAATGGACAAGATCCTAAGAAAATGGAGACAAAGAAGGAACTGGGAGCCGCTGTTGGGGCGAGGGGAAGGGTGTTGGGAGAAGAGAAAGCTGTGGGGGGACAGTGGGGACAGAGAGCAAGGAGAGGAGGGACAGAGACAAGGGGGCGTTGAAGTTGGGAAGAGGGGTGGTGTGGGGGGGTGCAGGTTGCCTGCAGTGGGGACAGCTTCTCACCTCAAGGATCCTCCGAAGCCGACGAGTTATGCTTTCACTGTGCTGTTCCAGCTTGCTCCAGGGCTGGAAAGGCTCGCCCTGGTTGTCCACAAAATTTCTCCAACAGTCCTCAAACTCTAAGATGAAGAAGGAAGGCAGTTAGGCCTCAGGGGCAGGGGAGCATGCACCCTGCAATTCCAGGGACCCCTCGTTCCTTTGCCCTTCCTGGTGGTGTCAGAGCTTGGGCCTCAGCTGGGCCAGCCTTCAGGCCAGCCACACGCAGCCCCACCCCCCACCCCCACCCCCCAGTGACTTTTCCCTCTTGGAGCTGCAAACCCTTCCATCCCCTGACAGCTCAGCCCTTTCCCTACCCTGGAGTCTCATGACGGCCACTGGGATCCTGGATCTATCCAGAAGCCTCAGCCCCTCCTGATACTTCAAGCGCCAGTGGAAATACAGGCGGGAGGCAAAGAGCCGCAGGCTGATGTGGGGATGGTCTTGGACAAACGCATCCAGTTCCTCCGCACAGGTGGGGCAGGGGCTCCAGGTCAGGTAGCAGGTGATTTCATATCTCTGGGACTGGTCCAGCCGCAGTGCCCTGATATTGTCAATAAAGCGCATTTCTGCATGGCGCTTTTTCTAGAAAGGGTCCCAGACAGAGAGAAGAGAGGTTTGGTTACAACGCAGAGGCCAGAGGTCACGTAGTGAGGGCACCACTGGGGATAAGGGGCTCTGCCCTGTGAACTTGTCTAGGACAGGGAAAGAACATTCCTACCTTCCTTCTTTCACTCCTCCATTAATTCGGCACCCCCCCCCCCACCAAAGCATCCGCAGCTTGATCTGAATCAGACCCAACCCCCTACCCTGGGAGGAGATGGGTTGGCAGACAGACACCCCAGGGCACAATTCCCAAATGCTCAGCAGACCCTGCCTTTTGGACATCAGGGGATGTTGGAACATGGTTCCCAAGAAGCAGGTCAGAATGGGAGGGAGGCGGGACGGGGCAGGTGGGAAGGTGAGTGCAAAAGCAAAGGGCAGGTTTGTATGAGGGAGTTCTTGGACGTGGGGTCTGTCCATGGAAGACCGCTTGGCTTCTCAGAAGCAGCAGCTGAACTGACATCTAGAGGACAAGAAAAGATTGTATTCTCCATGAGGGCAGGAAGCGCGTTCTGCTGGAGAGAACAGCTTCTGCGGAGGCCCGGGGATGGGAAAACCATGGAGAGTTCCCAGGAAGCAGGACAGAGACCTGGGTAAGCCTCAGTATTCACCCCTAAGAACCCCTAAACGCCCACACCTGTCCAGACAGCCCCTCCCCCGCCCGGCACCTTGTTTTGGAGGCGGACTCGGCGGGTTATGGGGCCCTCCTGTGGCTTCAGCTGGTAGCACAGGTAGGTCTTCCTCCGGTGGTAGGGCTTCGGGGCCCGGGGCTGGTTGCCGAACTGATGGTAGAATATTTCTCGTCGTAGTGGATTCATTGTGCTTCTGTGAGAGAAGAAGAAAACCAAAGATGCTCAGAGTGTCTTCGGGTGTCAGCCCAGGCTCTGCCACTTCCTGAGCCCAACTCCGTGGGTGCTCTGAGGGCCCCTGGGGTGGGGAGGGAGGGGGAAGAGGGTAAGCCCTCCCAGCCACACCCGGATCCACCTCCTGGGTGCCCCATAGGGCCTGCCATGCCCATGCTGGAGGCCACTGTGGCCACATGCCTCTGGCCGGCTGCCACCCCCACCCCCACCAAGAACTTGACATCATAGGTCCGTCTGTGGTTCACCCATCTTTGTCCTGTGCCCCAGACCTCTCTGTTCAGGTCCCACGGACATCTCAACTCCGATGTCCAATGCCACAGCCCTCTCTTTGGGGAGGGAGGGGCTGGCTGCCCTGGTCTTCTTCTAACTGTGCTCTTTGCTTAGGTGTGGGTGTCCCAATCTTGACTATCTGTACAAAGCGCAGAGAGGCTGGTGGACAGGAAACACTGTTGTCACCAAGGGAGTGTTGTGACAGTGACTTTGGCTGAAGGACTCACAGAGCTTGTCCTACCCCCAGGTGTGATTATACTCTAGACAACATTCCAGTTTGTTTTTCAGCGGCACCGTGGCCTGGCTCACGCGGGCACGTGTGCACAGGATTCTTTTCCGTAAATGCTCTCAACGCAGCAAAGGTACGAACAGGTGGACAGAGCTACAGCCTTCCTGCCCGCCACGGGGAGGTGCACGAGAGCTCCGACCGCCTGCATGCGGAGGTTACTGACCAAGCAGATGCCGAACAGTTCAAAGGAATGAGGGAAACTTGACGGGGCCCCAGCCCACTCGCCAGCGGGACCCTCCACTCCAAGCTAATGTGAACTGGCCGACCGCGGAGTCTGGCTCAGGTGACCACAGACGCTTGGAACTGGACACAGGAATCAAGCCAAGGGTGCCATGCCTCGGGGCACAGACTACGGGATACCCTGCTCCTGCAAAGCCAGAAATGCCTCCCCTATACCTCCAGCCAACTTGGTGAAACATCATGGATTCTACCAACAAAAGACCATTTCTGGGGGCGCCTGGGTGGCTCAGTGGGTTAAGGCCTGCGTCCCCCACCCTCTCTGCCTGCCTCTCTGCCTACTTGTGATTTCTCTCTCTGTGTGTCAAATAAAGAAAATCTTAAAAAAAAAGACCATTTCTGTCATCTGTTATGCTAATTAATAAAGCCACTAATATCATCAACGGAAACCCATCTCTGCTCCCCCTTACGCTCATCACTAAGGCTTCCGGTGCATTTTGGTGACTGTCATTGAAAAAGCCATCTATGCCCGACTTAAACTGAGAACCAAACGCTTGTGCAAATTATTAAAAATGGTTACAAAATATTAGTTAATTTCCTTTCCCCACTTTCCTCCCTTAAGTCTGCTTACCAGCTAAAGGGTCACCTATTTTTCATGGCAAGATTCTTAGAAAATGTGTTTAGTCCTTTTAAATACACTCAATACTAAAAAGTCTGTATTTCTTATTTTGGTAAGTGCGGTAAGTTCTATTGGGTACAGAGTACAAGCTGTAATCAAAGGATGGAGGGGACCTTTACCACTGTATCTCTTAAGCTGTATGATTTTTCCTCCAGTGTTTGTTTTATACAGGTTTTGAATTTCTTTAACTTTTATTGTGTGTACTGAATACTGCATATGTATTATTCTGATTGTTTGCTCTAGTTTACTACCAATAAAAAACCTGTTAATCACAAAATTGAAAAAAAAAAAGAAAAGAAAAGAAAAGAAAAAGCCATCTCTGGATTGTGGCCTTGGATTACCTGCCAGTGACCTCACCCGAAACCGGTACTCTCTGGGCACCTGGCTACCCTCAGCATGAAGGTTAGAACGGAAACCTCCACTCATAGCGCACTTAGGACAACCAACTGCTCTCTGGCTTCCCAGTTTTGACAATGAATTTCCCATGCCCCAGGAAGCTCCCCAGTCCCTGGCAAACCAGACACTCAAGGCTGACATATTTCCAAGTTTAGACAAGTGCCTTGTCTTAATAGCACAAATGTCGAAGCTTGACCTTGAACAGCTAAAATAGAGGGATGATAGAAACAACTCGTAAGAAGCATTTGAAGACTAATTTAATTTTTCACACTTGGTAGCATCTTCATGGGAAACAATTTATTTTCTTATCTAGGAGATGATTTTTCCCTCCACAGAGCAGAAATGAAACCAGCCACAGAATTAAGTGTGCAGAAAGGCGTGTCGCTCTGCCGTTAAAGATTGCTGGGGAAAACACCCAAGGCAATTTAGAGGATGCTTTGCTTAAGATGGTGAACATTCCCCAGCGGACATGGTCTACAGTGGTCATCCTAGCTACCAGGTGCTTGGTTTCTTTTTCTGCTAACAAAGCCAGCATCACTGATACGAACTGCTGAGCTGATCTTCAGACCTGGATAGCAGAAAGAGTAGGGCCGCTGACCACAGTCTGGGTGAAACCACACCGTTGGTACCAGAAAGACAAGTTCATCAACCTTGAAGTTTATCTCATCCCTGATCAATCAGAAGAACTCATGAGCCAGGACCCCTAACTCTGAATTTTTGCCCTTCAATGCCTTTACCTGCAAACCATTGGGGAGTTCAGGACCTCCCAGCATGAGCTCCTTGCTCTCCTGGGTGGCCCCACACCAGCAACTAGCCTGTCTCTTCAGCACAGAAACCCCATAGCATTTCTTTCTTGGCTCCCTGAACATCAGGCAGATGAACTCTTGTTCCCGTCAGTTTCAGAAATTAGAGCGTTCTTTGCAAAACTGTGCAAGTCTTTAAAATAGAATGTATAAATACGCTTTGATAGTTGACTCCAGCGATTGTCTCAATCACCCTTGAATCTGAAGTCTGTCACTAAGCTTAAATGAAGTGTTTTAGGAAGACCCAGGGGTCACACCTAGGGGAGAGGCCCCCCCCCCCCAGGCAGACAGGATGCTGGAGGCAGTGGGGTCTGGATGGAGGTGGGGGGCTGGGCACCTGCCCAGGTCGTACCCGCAGGCCAGAGGCAGGGAACAGACCCCACATACTGGGACAGATAGAATGAAGGACTAGGTGTCAGAGAGGGATCGAAGTCGGGCTGGGAGCAGGAAGGAGGCAGAGAGCCGAGCGAGCAGGTCCCTATTGGTCCCTGCAGCCCTGCCCCAGGCTTCTTGGCAGGCTTGCCTCATTCTGGCCCAGGCCCTGCGCTCTCCAGCTCCATTTCCCTCTCACAAGGCTGCTCTTGGCCTTGGGAAAGCCCCTTCTCTGAGAGTGTCCTCCCATAACAGTCTGAGTGGTAGACCCACCCCTTTCCTGCCAGGCAAAAGCTAGGGTGGGAGGTTCTGACTTGACTGTTTCTTTGGGCTCCCACCCACCTTCTTTCCTCCGGACTTACCTGACCTTGGGGTTCCTCTGCCGCTGCCTCTCCCAAGTGGGCTTGTCCCAGCCCTGCCCTTTGTCTGGGGCACTAGGGCTCCATTCTTCTTACTGGCCTTGTTTTAGGAAAGCCCCAATCTGGAGTGACCTTCCCGGCTGGCTGGCTGGCTGGCAGGCTGCCGGCAGCCTCCCCTCTCCCCTGGGGCCCCACCTTCTTCCTGCTTTGCTTTCAGGGGTGGGAGGGCCCTCGGGTGCCTGCACTTCCTTGGGCTCCGACCCAGCTTCTCTCCTTCTCTGAGACAGAGCTGCCTTCCGGGGGAGACAGGCCCCACTGTGCAACAGGACCCGGGTTATGGCAAAGAGAAAGAGAAAGTAGGATGCCAGAGGGGGTTGGGACAGCCTGGCTGGGGAAGTCAGGAAGGAGGCTGGCTCCTGCGGCCAGGGCAGGCTCTCTGAGGAGTGGGGTGAGCCCTTTCCTCATGATTCCTGCGTTGCCGTTAGAAGTCATTCAGTATCTTGTCAGGACTCTGGGCATCTGGAAAGTGAGGTCCATGGGTCAGATCTTCATCTCCAACCCTGGAGAAGGCAGGTGTGTTGAGCAGATCCTCTACCATAGCCCCCAGAAGCTTTGGGGGGGCCTATCATTACCCCGACATCTTCAATGAGGTTCCAGTACAGAGAGGCTAAGCTACTCTCTGGAACCACAAAGCAAACAAACCCCAGAGCTAGACGCCTTCCAGGGGTACTGGCCTGGCTCCTCCTACTTCCTCGATGTTCCAGGAGTGGGAGTTGGAGGCTGGGACACAAGAGGAGGGATCTTATTGCCCCCACAAGGCCTCCTAGGTCAGGGATCAGTGTGTGCGTCCTACAAGCTATCCACTTGCCTTTCACATGTCCACCAAGACCCCCAGATGGAAAAACAAAGAGCAACTGGGATAAGTTGAATACTAGAGAGGTCTTAGAACCGCCACCTGTCACCCACAGTCCAGACCACAGACACACAGAGTCCCTAGAGAACTTCTCCCACCTGGCAGCCCCCACCACACACACCTGGTTTTGCCCTACAGGCTGTGGGACTGCCCTGAGGGGGTAATAAGAGCACAGGCAAGAGATGGAGGGTCTGAGGGAATGGCATTCCCTCTATTACGATCTGTTCTCATGTCTCCCGCTTCCAACTTCTGGAAGAAGCTTCCAGAATGAGCTGGGTCTGGGTCCTTCCAAGAAAGTGACCGGATCTGTGTACTCAGGTGTTGGTCAAATTGACAGCTAAGACGCCTCTGGCCCAGGAAGCAAGAAGCATGGGGGGAAGGCTGAATGCTCGCTGGCCATCGGAGCTGGGCAGAGAACAGGATGAGCCAGAGCAGGATGGTGGCAATTTCAGAGGGAATGTCCTGAAAGCCCCCACAGATCTCTAACAGTGGCCTTCTGCTTGTTTCTTTTCTCCAGAAGGAGGGGATCTGAGCTAGACACTTTGGCCTGTTTTGATGTCATAGGCAGTCAAGAGGGGTGTCTTCCCACGTGCCTCCTGCATGGGGAGCAGGACAGACTGCGGGGGACAGGCCGAGCTCTTCTGTGTTGTGCCATCGGCCCCCAGGCAAAGGACAGACAGGGTGCCTCGGGGAGGGACAGGGGTCTGTGGCCACCAACAACTCACACCTAGCCAGCCAAGATCAGAGAGAGAAACAGCTGGTCTGAATGGGACCTGAGACGTTCTCCACAATGATTTTAAGGATGTCTTCCAAAAGGAACACCTGCCCTCTTGCTTTTCCTGCCTCCACATGCCTGGAATCCCACCACCGAGGTTGATCTCTCCGTCCTTTTCACCGTGCCCTGGTCCAGGCCAACCTGTGGGGCCCTACCACCGACTCCTCCCCGCTTGTCCCTGCCAGTGTGTTCATGGGGTCTTCGGCTCTGTGGGAAAAGAACCAGATGGTCCCTGTCTCACCTCTACTGCTCGTGTTTCCCTGTCTCCCCGACTTGATTCTCGGCCACCTGTCACTTTTGATTCCGCTTTTTTGGAAAAGTTCTGATGACCTCAGTCCTCCTATACCCCATC